CTCGAACCCTCGGGTGGTTAGCCGTTCTCGGGTCGTCGCGTGGCGACCTGGTCCGCCTGCTGGAAAGGAAGGAGGCATCCTGAGCCTCTCCCAGTCTAAATCCGACGATTGGCTGATCAAGGTGGTAGACTCCTACTATCACTATGATCGGGATGTCTCTAGGGAGCCGTGTCTCCAGAGGCATTCCCTTGGCATCGGGCCAAGCTAGGTATCCACTGCTCAGCTGGCAACAGGGCCATTATGGCCTCCTAGCCCACTGTTGCAAAGCTTAATTGTGGACTCGCTTTGACTCACCAGTCGGGTCTGGTCGGGTGTTGGCTGGCTCCCCGCACAGTTGCAAAGAGTCGGACGTTAGTCAAGAAGTCAAGTGAGTAGACAGATGCTCTGATGTCGACTAATGAGCTTCTGATCCATGGGTCTGAACTCATCGGAGTGAGGGCTTCATGAAGGGGTGTGCGGCTCCCCGTGAGCTGTTCTGAGCAAGGGCTCAGAGGGTGGTTGGACCGCCATGACTCAGGACTGACTTTGCTCTGCTTGCCGGGTTGGGTCAGCAAAGGAGCCCACCAGGGCGAGCGGGGGCACTCTTGGAAGGCCGAAAGGTAAAACTCTGAGAGTGAGTGAGGAAGGGGTGTTGGCAAGGGTCTTTAGGGGAGACCCTTTTCTCGTATTTCTTTTGGCATGACATGATCTCTGTTTTGCAAGTACCCTACAGCCAGACGAAGACAACGGGGTTTGGTATGACCCGACAGTAAGTGGCACAAAGCCAGCAGACAAATAGAAAGGGGTTTGGTATGTTTCCCCCTTATGAGGCGGCCTTTGGTCAAGATGACCCAGATGATCCTGAGTTCGATGATTAGTCCCATATCCACCCGTGGCTGGACTGTAACTGAGATGATGATGAGGATTATGTTGTGCAGATGAGATGGACTGATCTGATGAGGTTGAGACGAGTAGGTCAGGACTTAGACTTGGACTGCTAGACCAGACCTAACGATAGGGTTTGGCCTAAGATTGGGCCTAATTGTGATGATGCACAAGGTCAAACCTAATGAGGGGATTGACCTAAGATTGAGACTGATTTAATAATGCAAGAAAACGGGATTGATAGTATGATCGGGCTGCATGAGCGGTCATGATAATGGCGTGCGGTGACTGCACCACGCAAACTTGCTAAGACTAATCCTTCTTTGATTTTGATGGTGGCTTGGACCAGAGGTCCATGCCTTATTGAGCAAGCACTCGAGCCCTAGCGGGCGAGCACTTTGATGATTCATATATGTTTTATATGATGCCTCTATATATCAGATAGCATACGAGGCCGCACAGTTCAAGCAGGCAGATGAAAAACAGCGCAAGCATGACGCACAAGCGATGGCCGGGCGGCGCAGCCTGGTGGACGACGGGCGGTTCTGGTGCACGTGGCAACGGCGGTGGCGCAGGGCGAGGCGGCTGTGGCAGGACGGTGAGTTGACGAGGGTGAGGTTGAGCATAGGAAGAAGGATGGTATGGCGAGGGGTATGATCGAGGGGCGGTTCGAAACGTGGAAGCGGACTGCCGTAGCACTGCTCGTATCTATATGTATAGTACATCATTGACCTCGGCGACGGCGTGCACTCGCGCCGGTCCTCTGGGCGATGGCGCAAGCGCGTTCCTTCCCATCTCTCCTCCTCCTCCTCTTCGGATCTCTCCCCCTCGTACGTCAGATCGATTAGTCGATCTGGCGCCTTCCCCTGTCGTCCTCCTCTCCCACGTCCAGCGCCCAAGCCTCGCGTCTTTGGCGCCATGACAAAGGCTGATTAGCTGCGCGACGGTAAACGCTAGCGCGGCAAGAGCGCAAGCAAGTTGAGAGCGATGAAAGCAGTGGCAGTCGCGAGAGCGTAATAGCGCATCACACTTAATGATGCGAGTTCTAGTGAGAATAATGAGAGCAAGTAAGATATTAGGCTCTTTATAGTAGAGGGATTCTGGCGGGGACGCCAGGAATGGGGTTTGGTATGGTTGTCGAAGAGCGGCGCGCCGCGTCAATGTATAGTAGACTCGTCGCGGTCAGCCTCCGCACCATAGGGCTGCATGTGGTTACGATCAGCAGAATGTTGACACGCTGGTTTGACCCTTGGGTCGAGTCAGTGGGCAAGACGACACGACGGTCCATCCCCATGGAGATCGAATCACGGCTTTTGGGCTGAACCGCCGCGTCTACAAGGGCCTGATTAGTAGGGGCCCGGTCCGAATGGTACTGAAAACGGACCAAGGGTTAGTGAGGAAAATAGAATTGACCACTTGGGACCGAACTTACCGCGTCGGGAAGAGCACGGCCGGAAATGGTCAAGGGGAATACGGGATTGGGCCCTTATTATGACTAAGAGGGGTGTCATGTTTTCAAAACAAGGCCGACCCTTAGTATTCCAAAGTCGGGCCAGCCCAAGCCCGACATTAATTTTAGCATTGGTCCGTGCTATTTTTAGCGTTGGCTGCGCTATTTTTGGCGCAGGCCTGAGTTATTTTTAGCGCAGGCTCGAGCTAAATATAGCGCAGGCCCACGCTATTTTTAGCATGGGGCTGACTGTTCGTATCCCAAGGTCGGGGCTGTCCCAAGTCCCGCGCTATTTTTAGCCAAGTCCCGCGCTATTTTTAGCCAAGTCCCACGCTAATTTTAGCGCAGTCCCACGCTAATTTTAGCACAGGCCTGCGCTATATTTAGCGCAGGCCCGTGCTATTTTTAACACAGGGCTGACCGTTCGTGTTCCGAAGTCGGGAATGTCCCAGTCCTGTGCTATTTTTAGCGCAGTCCCGTGCTAATTTTAGCACAGGCCCGCGCTATATTTAGCGTATGCCCGGGCTATTTTTAGCCCGGGACTGACTGTTCGTGTCCCAAAGTCGGGACTGTCCCAGTCCCGCGCTAATTTTAGCGCAGGCCTGTGCTAATTTTAGCACAAGCCTGTGCCATTTTTGGCCCTCGGACTGCTGCACTTGGGCCCGATCACCTGACCTCTTCACTATAAAAGAGAGGTCGTGCCACTCAAGAAAAAAGAAGGCCCCTCACTTACGGGAATGCGGAAGCATTGGCGGATCGGCAGACTGAAGTTGCAGCACTGAAGCAAGTCCAAGGCAGGCAAGAGGGAGGTAAAGGGGTGGAGCTGCTTGGGGAAGTAAAGCGGCCCTGGTTCTCACTAGGGCCATAGCCTTCTCCCCTGCCTYCTCTCCTATCTCTCTCCCCYTTTGCTCCTTTTTGCTCTCTCTTCTTCCTCCTTCTCCCTACTCACTTCCGTCATTTCCCTTAGTCGGGCTGGTTGTTTATGAGTAGGCCCCCTTTTCTTTCTGCTCGTACCCTTACATTTTCTGTGCTTACTTTTGCTGTATCTGAGGGCTGAGGGTCGCTGTACCCCCTCGTGCGCCGTGTCAGAGGATTAAGGGTTGYTGTATACTTGTGTGCGGCGTKCCAAGAAYAGRYACTCAAACTGAKTATATCGATTATTGCTGTGCCAAGCGGCACACAAACTGAGTATAACGATTTTGYTGTGCCAAGGGGGCACCCARATTGAGTACACCGATTTKGCTRTRCCAAGGGGGCACCCAGATTGAGTACACCGATTTTTGTTGTGCCAAGGGGGCATCCAGATTGAGTACACCGATTTTGCTGTGCCAAGGGGCACCCAGATTGAGTACACCGATTTCGCCGTGCCAAGGGGCACTCAGATTGAGTACACCGATTTTGCTGGGGCAGTCAAACTGAGTATTTTAATTTTTGTTGTAGTCACAGGCACTCAGATTGAGCTCGTCGATTTACCGTATCAGCAGTTACTCCGATGGGGAATGTTGATTTTGAGCACACTGAATGAAATGCGACTGTGCGCACCCAGACTTGGATGCGACACTGAGCACTTATCTGAGAATCCCGCTCTTTGATGTAATGCGATTGTGCGCACCCAGATTTGCATGCGACACTGTGCACTTATCTGAGAATCCCGCTCTTTGATGTAATGGGGGATGAAGATCCGCCAGAAGTTGCAGACCCCTAGAAAACTCCTTACTTTCCCAACCGTTTTTAGAGGCATAGGCCAGTTCAGGAGTTTATCCACTTTCTTCGGATCGGGGCTTCTTCCTTCCAAGAAGCACCTAAAACCCAAGATCGTTACCTCCCTTTGGAACAGTAGTGATTTCGGCCCGTTGGCCGTTAGGTTGTACTTAGCCAACATTTCTAGTACTTTCACTACCCCCTGCGCATGATCCCATACGAACCGCCTAACTCGACCATCCACTAAGGTCTCGTCCTTTTCTTTCGGTCCTTTAACCGGATTGTCATCGATGTATGGGAACGTGACCTCTGGGCATATGTCCTCCATGACCTTCAGCATGTCTCGTTGGACGACCGCGACCCCATTCGTCCACTCTTGAGGCACCACACACATCTGTATGAGGCCTCTAGGTGTGTGCATGGCGGTCATAGGTCGACTAGTAGGATCTACAGGGAACTGGTCATAGCCAGAGTATAAGTCTACTAGGGAGTAAATGCTCCTTCCGGCGAAAGACTCGGCCAGTAGATCCGTGTTCGGTAAACTACCCGCATCACGAACAGTTACCGAATTCAACTTTTGCAAGTTTTGTATCCAGCGCAGACCTCCTCCTGGCTTCCAAAAACAACACCAGTGATTGGCATATGCACCATCCGCTGGTTCCACAACGTTGGAGGCGACCTTCTGGTTTATGTACTTCATTACCTCCTTTTCTTCCTTTTGAGCATACTTCGTGGGTCTATCATTCCAAGGCGTGTGAGGAACGGTCCAGATCTTGACCATCTTGATCATGTCAACGTCCAGTCGTCCCCTCTCCTCGTCATTAAACGAAAAGGCACCACTGTATTTCTGACATAATTCACAATGAAATCCCTCTCAGCCGGCAGGAGGAAGTCATCGGCTCCTACCTTCATTATCTTGAACCTCTCTGGGGTAATCCTTCCCCCTTTTAATGCAGCCTCTCTTAACCCTTTAATTATCTTCCTTTCCTTCTCGAATGCTTCATTATAATCCTTTTCTATCAATACTGCCACCGGATTCTTCTTAACGCCCTTGCGCTTATAATTCCTCTTGGACCCGGTGACTATTTTCCTAAAAAAGGCCCAGTTGCAGAGAAGGTAAGCTGCATCGTGCCAGCTTTTGCCACCCTCACAGCTTCCTTGAATCCTTCCATCTCTCTCTTATCGCCCAACTTCTTCTCTTCATCCAGGAGCTTGAGCATCTTCCCGATATCATTCACTCTAATCATTGTCTTCTCGTCTATTATTCCACTTTCTTTCAGTTTTGCTCGTACTTCCTCAATCAGCTTCTCAGATTCTTCATGCTTAAGAGAGTTAACATGTCGTTGATGACGAGGATGATGTCTATCACTTATCACAAAATCCTGCTCTTGACCAGTGACAGGATCCTGAAGAGAGAGCCACGCCGCTCCATCATGGCCAAAGAAAGCACAAACCTCCATTCTATGTAGGAAAGGGGCTCCGAGAATGCAGTCATGATCCAAGTTGGGAACCACAAAACTAAGGATCTCAACCCGTAAAGTTCCAATCCGAATAGGCAAATCATCAATAAAACCTTCCAAGGGCAGGAATCCAGCTATATTAGAAAGCTGATGATTAACCTTCCTGTCTGTTCCAAACCCACATGATCTCATCGTGGCCGAGGACGTAAGAACCATCTCGGCCCCGGAGTCCACTAGGGCTCTAACTCTCACGTCGTTTACGGAGATATTCAAGTAGGCACACGACATGTTGCCAAACCTCATCTTGGTCCTAGGCGGGGCTCTTTCCACATGCTGAGGGAAGAGTCTTAGGCTATTGATTTCTACCTTTCGCCTTTCAACCATCTTTTTAAGTTCTTCTCTAAACTTTGGCACCAAAGCTACCGCCTCCTTCCAAGATAGGGTGATCTCGGTTTCTTCAAATAGTTTCTTTACTACTTCATCTATCGAGATACCTTCCTCGGCCTCGGATCTCAAGACCACCTTCCTTTTTTTCCCGGCAACTTCCTTTCCTTTCCCTTCCTTCACTAGGTCCTTGGTCCCATCAATCAGTTGGTCTAGCTCTCTTTGAGCCTTCTCCCGTTTTTTCTCTGCAACCTCTCTTTGGCTGATATGGGATACATTCAGGTTTTGGCTTCCAGGATTGTCGTCTCGAGCCACTATCTCCGGAGGTAGCATATCGTCAAAGGTGACAACATTAACCCTAGCCTTCTTCTTTTTATCCTTATTGGCCTTAGCCTTCTCTAGGATTACCGCTCGCATCCCTCCTTTGACTCGGAAGTCTACCTTGTTCCAATTGGCATCACAGATGTGCCCATTGACGTTTTTCTTGACGATCCCTTCTTCAAGCTCTTTCTCTAACGTCGGACACCGGGTTAGAGTATGGCTTTCCTCGTCACAGTAATAACATCGGAAGGGGCCATCTCTCCTTTGCCAATCTCGGCTCTTATTATCTTTCTTCCAATCCCGGTCGCGATTCTTCTTTTGCCTCTCGTTTCTCCTTCGCCTAGCGTCATCATCGTCACTACTCTCGCTCTCACTCTCACTCTCTTCCTTTTGCGTCTCCTTCTTTCTTTCTTCCTTACCTTCTTCGGCTCCAACAAGTGTTTGAGTTGCTGGGGCAGGAAGGGTTAACTTTTCGAAGCTACCAAGCTTAACGAGAAGACCAAGGATCTCCTCGGCCTTCAAGCTTCCTCCCGTAGCTGCCTCAACATTTCCCTCTCTTGCACTAGTGATTGCTTTCATTTGTTCCAAAGACCATTTTCTGTTGGACATGGAAGGCAGCCCACGGACCATCTCAACTACTTCATCCCACTTTAGAGGATAATGGGCAGTCAGGCTAACCACACTCTTTCTTTCATCCTCTGCGAAGTTAGTTAGTAGGACATGCTATTTTTGGGCCTCATCTAGGAAGGGTACTCTCCGCGCAACCCGCTCAAAATCCTCTAGGAATTGATCGAGGGTAGCGTACTTAGAACGTCGCACTTCCAACAAATTTTGCATGGTCGTTGGGACGTCATACTTCGCATACTCTTCCAACATCTTTTGTCTAACCTCGACCCATGTTGCCAACCCTTGTGTCGCCTTCGTTACCGACACTCTTATCTTAGGTTCAACATAGGCTAGCAGAGCTTTCAACTTCTGTTTATCCGACCAACCATGGCTCATACCGAAGACATCATAGTCCTCCAGGAATTCTCTAACCTTGGTTCCATCAAAGCAGGGTATGTTCTTTGGAGGTACCTTAGCCCTAGGAAGGTCTAGACGGACATTCATAGTGTCCATCCCAGTCTTCATGGCCTCATTTCGGTTCAACATCTCTCCAAGAACCACGGTAGTGGTCACTTCTCCATCCCCAGCAGAGGAACTAGCACGGCTCTGCCGTGCGTTCGGTCCTTTGATCATCCTGTCTAGTTTACTGGTTACGCTCCTACTTCTTCCTGAACCTCTTCTCTCTTATGATTGCTTTTAAAATTGGTTCCCAGTTCTTGCCGTCAGTAAAACTTTCTGGCAGATGGGGCTCGGGAAACCTATCAAACACAATCGGTGTTAAGTCACTAACTACTCTTGCCCCTGTTCTTTCTAACTTCCTCTTTTCTTGATCAACTATATTACTAATCCAACTTCGAAGGGACTCACGATTTGTCCCTTTCTCTCTCAATGAGGGAACGTAGGGCCGGATATCGTATTCACCAGTGTCAAGGAACTTCAGTACAAGGACATACGCCTTCCTAGGTGCATGCTTCTCCTCCAGGGATATGCAGCGTTCTATCTTATAGGGAAAAGCTCCTCCGCTGGTGAAAGGAACTTGAGCGTCCAGAGCTGCCGTGATTGTCGGGCAGTATCCTGACATTGCCTAGTCCCTAGCAACCCCCATGATCCTTCTTTATCTTTGATCCGTCTAACCCTGTCCTGTGCCTACCAAGTCTTACAATCCGGAATCGTCAATGTTGACACTGCTCCTCTTCCTATCTCTTAAAACAGTATTAAGGATCGGCTCTTAATCCTCACCATTGATGAAGCTATTCGGAATAGGAGGACTTGGGAAATTCTCATACTCAGTAGGCTCCACACTCGAGGTAACCTTCTTACCTTCCTTCTTGAGTTCGTCCCTGTATTTGCAGACGTGACTGAGTACCCACTCGTGACATCCTATATACCGCCGCCAAATTTTCCTAGTCACTGGAGTGTATATACGCACGTCATACTCATCGGTCTCTAGAAAGCGAGTTACTAACACATACACGTTCTCCTCTGCTTCAGGTATAGCTAAGACAGTGTATCTCTCAATCTCATAAGGAAACGCCCCTCCTACCGTGAAGGGCTCTAAATCCCGGAGTAGGCGTGAGATGACCGAAGAATTAATGTCTGGTAATTTTTTTCCTTCAGCCTTCTCCCAAGCCTGCTTCCTAGGAAACTAACATGCCCCTCAACCATAACACGCTCCTTTCCATTGTCAAGTGAGGGAAAACTCAGGAGAAGCTTCGTCTTGAACTTCGAACCGACGTACAAAGGTCTCAAGAAACAGCGTCTTTGGTCGCATGACTAGGTCATTTTTCTTGCCTTGCCAACCACGACAATAGCTTCTAGAAGAGGTGCCCAATCTCTCCTGTCAACAAAGCTATCCGTAGTCAAAAAACTAGGGAGTCTTTCAAATTCCCTGACTCGTTTCCCCCAAGTCACTTTCTCATGCAAGCTTCGAAGTAACTCCCTTACCCTTGAAAGGTGAATGTACACTCTCCTCAGACACTCTAAATAACCTTCTTCCTCTTTTATTCCTTCCTGAGCATAAACCCTCACATCAAGCTCGTTAGTCTTGAAAAATCTAACCACTGGAACATAGAATACTAAACGCCCTTCCTTACAGACGTTGTGTCTCAATATCCTGAACGGACTGTCAGTCTCAGTTACTTTATCCAACTATCCTCTACTAATGGCCACAGTCGCAATTGACATAGAGTTTTCACATTCCAGTATCATTGCCTTGGGCTGCCTCTAGCGCCTCTAGCCAGATTATCTGCAGGACGCTGTCTAGATAGGATGGTCTCATCTCTCGCATGTAGCATCACTCTCTCGTCATCCGAACTCTTGCAATCCAGCAGATGCCTAATCTTAGTCTGACCCGTAATTGCTCTAAAGGCAGCCGCTCGCATAAGCTCAAGGTAGTGCTCTACCATGCCAATCTCGTCGTGCCTACCTAGCCTAGTATCGCATCCTCTCACAACCCCGATGACAGTCGCTTGTTGCTCATCTAAGTAAACCTCAAAGCAAAAGCTCTCTCCGTCATCAGGAGTGTAAACATCGATCGGCATAGCTCACCACACTCGATCCCTTAATACCGCGTTGAGGATTGGTCCCCAGTCCTTCCCGTCGCAGACGCTAGTAGGCACAGGAGGACTTGAGAATCTCTCAAACTCTCTAGGTAGGACACTCCACGACACTTTCTTTCCTTGTTGTTTCAACAACAACCTTCCATTTAGGATATACTCAGCAGCAACTACCCAACACGCCTCAGAGTCAATCCCTCTTCTTGTTCCAGCAGATACATACGGCCTTACATCATACTCGTTTGTATCAAGGAATCGGACTACAAGGACGTACAAGATCACTGAGTCGTGCTCACAAGTCACACACCTCTCAATGATGTATGGAAAAGCACCGCCAGCAGTGATCCTGGTCAGTGCCTCTATCGCTCTAGTTACTGCAGACATGGACTGCCTACCAACTCTGCCTCCTCAGCGCCGCATTGATGATTGGCTGCTAGTTCCTACCATCACAGAATCCTTTGGGTACCGGCGGGGTAGGAATCTTCTCGTAGACTTTGGGCAACAAACTCCAACTCGCCTCTATCCCTTGCTGTCTTAGTTGATCCCTCTCTACTTCGACACATCTCACAATAACATCCCAGTTGGTAAAGAACCTCGGTTCCCGATCAACCCCTTCTAGGATGTAGGGTCGAATATCATAATCATCAGTGTCAGGGAATCTAGAGACAAGCACATGCACAGTCGTTGTACTTTTCACACAAGTAATGCATTTGACAAACATATAAGGGAAGGCACCACCGCAGGTGACACGAGTTAGGGCTTCTAGGACATTATACTCTTCAATCATCGTCTGGTTTCTGACTTATAGACCTGTCAAGCGAAGGGTCTAGAAAACAAATTCCAAACCCTTGCTTGCAGGTCTGAGTCACTTCAGATAGACTTTTGCAAGAGGCCTCTCCTCTCGAGGCTTCTCTAGCCGAATAGTCTTTTTGACCTGAGCCAAACCTTGTACGAAATATTAGACTGCTGCCTAGTCACTGAATATTCTGACCAAGGTCCGCTCCCAGGAACTCAAAATTTTTGAGTCCCCGGCAACGGCGCCATTTTTGTCGCGCCCCCACCGTTCCAGGGCCTGGTTCGATATCCCTCCCCGGGCCGAGTGCAGTGGGTTGGTGGACTGGCAGGCTGTCACACCGGATTTTGGAAAGTTTTAGGGAAATTAGAAGTGTATTCACAAGCAGCCTTTGTCACACAGTCGATTAGTCAGGGTTATCCCTCCTGCCAGCGGCGACACGGCTTAGAGTGAGGCGTTCGATTTTATCGCCTGCACCTGACCCCGTATAAAGGTTAGACTCAAGGTCACCGGAGTCCCTATTATCCAGGAGTCCTTCAAGTAGCCTTGAGTGTAACCTGTTATGATAAGGAGTGATAAATAACTTGTTATTTCATACATAAACATTCCATGCATAATCGGACATGCGTCATAAATCAAATGATACTGAGAGGATGAAAAGACGAGAAACCAGACTCTGCAATAGCATGACCAGAGACACGAGACTGAAGAGTAGTACAGAGAGAATGCAGGAAGCAGCCATAAAACGGGGGCTGCAGTCACTGGTAAATCATAATAATGTCATAGAACATCTCAGTGACTAGAAGATACGAGCCTCAATCAATAACGACAAGTGGTACCCCCTCATGAGTGGGCTCGACAGTCTGGGACTCCGTATCTGGTACACGTTAGTCCTCATCATTGAGAACCTGAGTGGCTATCGACTCTGGGACCACATAGCTGATGTCAAAAAATGCCGCAGGATCAATCTTGCTGATATATGCCATACATCTCGCCATCTCCTCGTCCACGACACTTCGGAGGTACAACTCCTCGGCGAGGGAAATGCTACCCGTGGCACCGATCTAGATCTCAATCCGTCCCTTGCCGTAGATGTAATCATAGGAAACCTCCAGAAAACGGTCTCCATAGAGCGGCTTCCGAAAAGCCTGTATAACGAAGTCTGCTCCCACCAAATGACTGTAGCCATCACCAAGATATGGGACAGGTCCCTTCCCCTATGAAGGGCCGGCTACCTCCTCTGACCTGGGTCCTCCTGACATGTAATGCCTGGATCAATCACCCTCAAGCAAGTATTGTGCCAAGAGATAAGCAACCCGTCGTAGGGCTGCCTTCCGCCTGCGTCTCACTCCGGCGACCAATGTCATAAGATGCCCTGGATCTGCTCCAACTCAAACGTGCTCAACCCCTGTGAGTATCCCAGTCAAAATAATCCCCTAGGTCAACGTCGCTCACGCAACAAGGCTCTTGGTCTGACTCTTCTGTCTCTGACCTCTGTAAGCAGGTGGTGATAGGTATCCCGGATCTAGCCACCTCGCCCCTAATCCTCCTGTCCTGACGCCTCTTTTCCTTGCTGCCACCTCTGCTTAGTGGTTTTGGATTACAACCATCAAAGTCAAAGAGAGCACCTCCTGGTGCAAAGGGGACCTGGGGAAACACCACATGTAACCAGTGCTCCCTCCAGTAGCTCTCCCTGCGGAAGATATAGTCAGCAATCCGGTCATAGGTGGCTCCCTTTATTCCCTGCCCAGCATCTCTCACGTGATAAGTGATCACCAACGTGTATCTCGATGTGGGAGACTCATTGGCCCT